ATAGAAAAGTAAAGAGTACATGTTTGGTAACTTGGTACAAGAATGGAAACACAATAAACTCTAATTTTACTCTTGCCTAATTGACTTGATTTACTTCCTTAACAAGAGACAAATACCACAAGACATCCATCGATCTTTTTTGTTTGAACATATTAGACGATGTTGATATATTCAATAGTTGTCCATGAGGCCAAAATACGTCACATACTTTTAAAAGAGGGCATCTGACCAAGTCTTCAAAGCCAAGCACAAATATGATGTGTACGGAATAGCACAAGTCGTGTTCGTAAATGATAAAACCTTATAACTTTTACATTTTATTAAATTTTTATATGTAATACTTATATAAGTATTGCAGGTATGGGTGTACGAGGCTATCCCAGGAATAACAACTAAGTGGGCAATAAGAAAGGAACAGACAAGGGTCCCAGAATGCTGAACTGATAGGTAATAAATACCCCGATTGGAAAAGATATATTCGCCATCTTTGAGGATCCTTGAGTAATTATATATTTGCATTTTATATTTATCTTTGTCTATCGATTCAATTCATGAACATTAACGTGTTGAAATGTTAATATTTTATGTTGAAGTTCGTACAATGTTGACGGCCATAATCGAAGAGATGGAGTAGGGGCACGTGTGAGGAATGTATCTTTCTCCTAGATAAGATGTTTCAATCCTTGATGCCTTTCTTGATGGGAAGACAGTGCAAATTTATAGCTCTATTTTGTATTATTACATGTAATAAAATTGTACTAATTTTGAACTTTCTCACTTATTTAGGAGCACTCTCATATTACGAGACAATCTTTATCCTCATACCCAACATTTTTTTTTTTTATAACCGTAGATGTCCGGGCCACTTTACGCGCACATCGACTAATCTCACGGGGCCCTGAAGTTTACGACCGGGTACTCACAGAAACAAGAGATCCATCCTCATGCATATCTTTATTTCCATGTTGATCTCGTGCTCCGCATCGATCTCCTACATCACATTGTCTTTCACCTTTTATGCACTTGCGCTCAAGAATGCTCTCAATATCGAACAGATAACAAGAGATGCGAATCCGGATAGATTAAACATGAGATGCACACACAGCGGACTGGCACCGCAACCCATCACCACCGCAACCCAAAACAGCAAGCCAGCCAGTCGATAGATTGAGCATGAAACTCCCACCACCTCCTCCAACGTACCATCATCACAAAATAGCAAGCCAGTCGATGTATTGGGTGTATTGTAGTGAGAGAAAAGATGTGATGGTGATGGTGCTTGAAGAGATAGAATGAGGTGATGGTGCTTGAAGAGAGAATGAGTGAGAGTCATTGTTATGGAAACAATTTTAAACATATCTCATTAGATAAACATAAAACAGTTTCCATATTAATCATTATATTAATTAATTTAATAAATCTTCATTATCGCCTGATTTGTGAGATTAAAACTAATCAGAACTGTCAGAAGCCGAACTCTCGTCATCTTGCATTCCAATGGAATTATAACGAGATACAAAGTAACCCGTGTCATCATCAGCATCAGTAGGTGCAGATTCCTCAACAATTTCATCATCAGCAAAGCTGGCAGAATATGCCCTATACCCCTTTCGCCGGAAAAGGAGTTCAATTTCNCATCACAAAATAGCAAGCCAGTCGATGTATTGGGTGTATTGTAGTGAGAGAAAAGATGTGATGGTGATGGTGCTTGAAGAGATAGAATGAGGTGATGGTGCTTGAAGAGAGAATGAGTGAGAGTCATTGTTATGGAAATAATTTTAAACATATCTCATTAGATAAACATAAAACAGTTTCCATATTAATCATTATATTAATTAATTTAATAAATCTTCATTATCGCCAGATTTGTGAGATTAAAACTAATCCTCCTCATTTTTTAATAGTATATTTTATATATATGGTTTTGGGTAAACAATAATTAAAACATTCATATTACAAAAAAAAATGACGCACACGCCTCACACTCCGTTAGCATATGACATGCGCCTCACACCTGACGTAGCGCCTTGTGGCACAGGTGCTACGCATCAGCTTGAGGCACGCCTTAAGACCACCGTTTTAAACCATTTTCAACTGGTATAAATCTGCTAAAAACAATTGAACCTGATTAAGAAACCTTGAACCGTCCTCAAAAATATTTCAACTGGGCTGAAAAAAAGCTGAACCAGATTGAAAAGTGCT